AAAGTGAAATTTCATTCTTAAAGGTTGAAAATTGGGCAACTCTTTTTCGAGACTAGCTCAACTTTTATCCTTTAGAATGAGATTCTACTCCAAGGAATTTAAGTAGTAAAGATTAAGATTAAAATTGAACTGGGGAATTTGACTAATCAGAAGAAAGAAAAATTTAGGTGAACTTGGCTTTAATTGATGAAAATCTAATCTCAATCTTAATTTCTAGATTAATTTTTAGATACAGACTTTATTGGTTATCTGGAGGCTGTATTGAGCCTCTATGATTATTTGTTTTTAATTGTTTAAAGGGGGCATCAATAATATTGTATATAAAATAATTTTATAATAATTAATACTGATCGTTTGAGGGCCGCTTTAGAAATGTGATTCTGTAACTCTTTCGCGGGACCTTTCAGTGAGTTCCTCCAAAAATTTTGAAATCTTTCCATACCTTTTGCAGCTATACAAAATCGTGTCGCGCGTGAAATTCGTGAGACGCGACTCGTGCTTAGTAAATTTTTGGAATCCAAATGGCTAAAGTGCATTCTCGTCGCGATGGTTAGAACCGAATGCCAGTTATTGCACACACTCGATGTAACTGTATAAATATCGATATCAATCTGTCAGTCTCGTGTCTCTTTGATGGTACTTAAATGAAGTGGCCCCTCGGGCCTCTCCGTATTCGCCAACGGCGCAGCGTCGATAATGTTTCTTTTTAAGCGAAGTTAATGAAAAAAAAGTATATATATATATATATAAATCTCTTTTTCTCGTAGCACGTTCCTCCTTTGGCCCGTCGTGCGACTCGAGCACAAACCTTTTGTACATAAAAAAAAAACGCCGCGAGTCGCGGACGCGAAGCGCGAAAGGTAATATTTAATTAATTGACGCTCTTGTCTTTTGTCGCAAGCCGACCTTGCGTATAAACTCATTGCTCGTTTATATGCGATGTATTTTTGTGAACAGTATTGAAAGTGCTACCGTTGTACAGTTATCATATGGTAAATGTACTAATGATGTACCTATAATGTACATAGATATATTTAATTAAAGTGAATATGAATTTGTGTAATCCTCGAGAGTATTTGTTTCCTGTCTCTCTCATTTTTTCCTTTCTCTCTAGAGAGAGAAAGAGCTATCTATCTGTCTTTATATTTGCACTTCTGGCCCGAGTGTCCCTGGATTTTGATGCTTGTCACATGTTCCCTTTAATGCGATCCGCGCTAATTAATGTCATTTGTCTCGCCCGCGTCACGTTAACTTACGGTAATTCGAGACGCTAAATAAATTCGTCGCATTAACTTAGCGAAAATTTAGAGATTTGGTTCACACGTGCAAGTTAAACGCGAATTAAATTTATAAATGAGACGCGCGACTCGTGAATTCGTCTCGTTATCTCGATATGTTGTTTTACTTAAATTTAAGATCGTATCAACGTGAGACTGTTTCTGCATTTGGCGCTTACGTAACTTTACCGACTATACGTGGGACGTAATTATCACGCAAGGCACTCTAAACGCTTTTTACGTCCAGCTGTTTGTGTTGCCACACAGATCGTTCGAAGAAGCTGGCAGATAACACACATGCAAAAAAATTGCAAACGCGGACGAAACAGGCGATGAATGGCGAAGATAAAAGGTGTCGAAAAAAATCAATTCGCTTTGAAGGAAACATGCGGGGAAAGTTTTATCCAAGTGCTAAAAAAGACGGATAAATCGATAAAAGTCGTAAAACTCGTGGTACCCTAAAAGAACGTAGGCAGTAAGCGAATCGACCAATCACAGTAAAAAACACGAAGCAATAACGTAAGTAGCAGCGAATCCAGAATGTTGATTTTCTTATTGCTTATATTGACAAAAATATATCTAATTCTAATAAATGTTTGTTTGAACAGTGCCGGTTAAATATTTACTAAATGTAAACATATTTATTTGGTACAAGAACCATTAATTTGATTTAATTATATTTGTTCATTCAACAAATATTTATTTTTATAAATAAATGTTTATTGAATTATATTAGTATTATTCAAATAATTATTAAAATTTAGTACTCTCATTGTACATCTTGGGAAGATAAAAAAATTACGAGATTAAAATAATATCAAATTTGATAAATTTTTGACGATGACTTTGTGAATTCTTGACATGACAATGTTTTTCAAGTAATTTTTTAGTTAAAAAATCACATAAAAATTATTATTACTTAATGTCATTTTGATATTATTACTATCTTTTATTATTTGTATTCTACTTGAGTTTATACTGCTCAAGTTTTTTGCGTGCCATGGTCTTAAGAGATTAATTTTTATTCTACAAAATTATGAAGATGAGAAACGATGGAAAGGAGTTGTGACGTTTTCGAATGACTTTATCTCGAGGATTACGAAATCAATATCGCAGAATGTATTCCTGTCAGTTACTGTTAATCCAACTATTTTTCCAGCGCGGCTCAAAGGGACCGCGAATTAAACTTGTCGAGATCGCTTTAAAACAGTCACTGTTTTGGCAGACGAGATTGACGTTTCGGTGCAATCGCTCAAAGGCGAGTTCACGAGCTTGGAATCGCGCGAGTCTGGACTGAGTCGCGATCGCACAAGTCCGGACGATCCTTTCAGATATGAAAAACGCGAGACCGTCGACGTGACATTTGACTTTAAAAAAATTCCGCTGCCGCGATATCTAGATGGAAATATGCCAGGGCGATTTCGCGCACGCGAGGGTGAAAAAAATACGTTTTCTCCCCTGAGCGCGCGATATTTTCACGCTGTGCTTCGCTCGAATCCTCCAAAATTGCGTTCAACAATTCTACCTATTAAGGTAGAGTTTTATCCTTGTTCACCGAATGTTAAACGAGAATAAAATGGCTGAACGTATTCGAGTAGTGCTTTCGAACGCGACCTAAGTAAAACACAAAATAAAATCTGTAAGATACAAAATAAAATCAGCAAGACATCAAGTAGAAGTTTCATAGAAAAAAATTATAATATTATTCGATATACTTTTGATGATGATTTTGTAATGAATTCTTGACATGATACATGGAAAGAACGATTTTGCTGGTGTTAAACTTAATTCCTATCGTTTTTTCGTCTCCAAAATTGATTTGTTTCGAAGGGAAGATGAATGAATACCTTAATCAAAGTAATTTCCTCCGTTTTCTACTACTTTTTCCCATTTCTCTGGCAACAGGGCAATCCCACGACGGTAGAACGCGGTGTCTTTCGAGGCGATCCATTCATCCACCCATTTTTGGACTTCGTTGTGACTGGAGAAGTGTGTGTCCGTAAGTGCGTGTTGCATCGATCGGGAGAGATGGTAATCCGACGGTGCCAAGTCTGGAAAGTACGCTGGGTGCGGCAGAACTTCCCATTCAAGCTCTAGAAGTGCTTTCTTCACGCTTTTCGCAACATGTGGTCGAACGTTATCATGCAACAAAATGACTTTGCGTCGATTGTTGGCTACGGATGATCTTTTTTGCATCAATTCGTCACTCACTCGGCCTTTGGAGTAACATTTAACTGTTTCGACAACTCTAAAAGCGTTTAAGCTGGATTCTCATCAATTCTTGCAGCTCGACATCTTCAAATATTTTCGGCTGTCCTGGACGTTCTTTGTCTCTCACATCAAAATCACCGTTTCGGAAGCGTTCAAACCAAACTCTACATGTTCTTTCCGATGGAGTTTCATCACCATACACTTCAGATAATAAGCGATGCACTTCAGTTGCGGTTTTCTTGAGGTCAAAGTAGTGAAGAAGCACATGTTGGAAAAACAGCTTATCGTGATTTATTTTCAATCGATTGGAAAATCTCTTTGGCGTCGAAAAATCTAACCTGTGAGGATTGAATCACTTTCAGCGATGTCTAAACTACAAAAGACATCATCGTCGAAACTCGCCAGCGTTGGAGCCAACACCCTCTAGTAGCGAGCGGCAGGAATTAAGTTTAACACCTAATATTAAAAATTCAATTAGATACAGATCTGAAAACAATTTTGTTGGATCATATAATTACGTAAGAATGCTGCAAAAAGCTGCAATCAACGTTCTATGTAATTATTTGGATGATTCAATAAAATTATTTTCAAATCTATATCAAAGCTAAATTTTTGGGTGCTTCAGCAAAATCTTCCTTGTCGTGTAATAATTTTTAAATGATGTTTTAACAAAAAAAAATATTTCAATTGGCGATGTCAGAGCAATTGTTGACATTTTAACTCGTAAGAATTCCTCCAAAATATATCAAGATATTATTTTTTTTAAATATACGTATATTAATTTAATTATGTTGAAATTAATTTAAAATAAAAGATGCTATGTAATATGATATTTAATAATATTTAATAATGCTTTAACGATGTAATATTAATAATATAACAAAATAATTTGATGAAATTTTAATGACATAATAATAACTTCAATTAATAATATAATAATTTAATGAAAATTTAATAATGACACTTGTAATATAACTGTATAGAAGATGATACGTGCGACTATCAAAACAATTATTAAAATAAATTTTTATTATGTAGTCCGGATATATATTATGCTTTACATTTTTTTGGCAAAGCAGTCAATTATAGACTCATCTTAAAAAAGGATTTATCGTCATTAATAACTTTATTTATAATATAAACAATTAAAAGAGAATTTCCATAACGAAACCAAATTTAACTAAATAATTGGAGGCAATGGCTGCATTCAGCAAAAAATAGTTTTGCAACTATTATAAGATTCTTTAATATAATTGGTTTATGCATTTAGATTTAGTGAGAAATTATATAACAACAATAAGAATCAATCATATTAAAGTTATAGTAGTTGTTAAGCTGCTTCTTTTACTGTACGTAATTAATTAATAGAGATCTGTCATCGTATAATTTTGATAGTAAACAATTCTATGGTCGCAAATACCTATTTTCCCGTATATCAGGATTTATTCGCGTTTCTATCAGCGCTGGACAGTTCGCGGACAGAAACGAGAGGTAATTCTGATCCCAGTCTCGAGCTGTGTCGGAGTTTCAAAACAGATGAGCTGATGACAACAGCTTGTCGCTGCTATCAGAATTATGTAACGCGTTTGGTGATAACGTTACACGCTTTCGGTGTGAAGGGGTGAAGATGGCGATAGAGACGAAAGAAGGAGATGGGTGGGATGGAATGGAGCACACGTGACGTAATCTCGTTCGTCAGATGGCGCCTGCTCGTTGGATGTTCCGAATGTTTTCAACCTTAACCTAAAGAAGAAGGACAAGAGGCAAGAGCTCGCTGGGTGTAATGTAATTGTTCGCCGGCTCGGCTCTCAATTGTTACTCGTTCACTCAATAAATCTAGAGTCATTGTGAATTGCCCCCGTGACCGGTTGCGATAGATCGCCATCATCAGCTCACGATGACGCTGCAAGCGATAAAATGGAACAGGGAAGACGGCAAGCTGGAGATCCTGGACCAAACCCTGCTGCCGGCAACGACCAGCTATATCCAGATCAAAGGTGTCAAGGATGGCTGGAATGCTATCAACAAGATGCAGGTATAAAAGCTTATTGTTAGAAAATAAATTTGAGCGTAGTGCTTTGTTGAACTAAAAAAAGACTTTTTATTCTATAAAGCTGACACACAGAATTTCCAAAATCGTGATATCAACCATGTACATGAAACGTGGTCTTTCTATATTTTTAGCTGACACTGAACTTTTGCTTTGTAAATCAATAATATTGTTAATACAAAAAGAAAAAAAATGAAATAAATTATTTAGTTGTGGTTTGTTTGAGTGAGAGGTAATTAAACATTTATCATTCATATTATATTTTTATTATTATTTTTGTTTAATTCCTGGGCTGAGGATGGCTCAAAACCAAGCTGTTTGCATTGATGATATTTAAAACACAATATATGAATAATGTATGAATAATTTTGCTTATCATCAATTACATTTGATTCTTACTTTAATTCAATTTTTCTTTTATATATAAAAGTCTTTCGTTTAAATCTTTTAAGCAATTCTATATTATGTATCTTTATATTTTACTTTGTTTATTAAATTATTTAACTCTCCTTAGGCTCACTAAATAAAATATGAGCTGTAATTAATCTAAATAAAACATAAGTAAATATTTACGAAAAATTAAATGATACATCATGTGCATCATGCAGAATGCACCTGTAATAATATTAAGTCCCACATCTAAAAAAAAGATCTCAAACTACATATTTCCTGGATATTTATTTTACATCAACTTTGCATTTTTTGTTCCTTCTTTGTTGACTTAGTATCAAATAAAATGTTATACAGTTGTAAGTGTACATGAAATTTTTAAGTATAGGTCATATAATTGGTTATATTTTATAGTAAATATAATTCGATAACTACAGGTACGAGGCGCACCAGCCATAGCTATCGTGGGCAGCCTCAGTGTGGCAGTAGAGATTCTTCAACATCCAAACTATGAGGACAAGAAGGCTCTTTTTCAGGCTATCAAGGATAACATGAATTACCTGGTAACGGCACGTCCCACTGCAGTCAACATGAAAGTGGCAGCTAACTTCTTCACAGAGCTGACAAATTTATTGAGTTTATCTGACAAACTCACTCTATCCCAGATGAAAGACAAGTACTTATGACTTTATATCTTTGGAGAAAGATACGAGCAGTCTGATTTACATTATTTTGAAACTTATGTTATAGATTCATAGATAATGTAGATAATATGTTGATGGACGATATAAGGTACAATAAAGTAATCGGGGAATATGGAGCGGACGAAATTCTATGTAACGTGCCTGAGGGAAGTTCTGTCAGGGTGCTCACTCATTGCAATACCGGGAGTCTCGCTACCGCGGGATATGGCACAGCTTTAGGCGTCATCAGATCTCTTCACAAGAAGGGAAGGCTCGGTAAATATAATCTGTTTTTGAAAGCCTTATCTTGGCTGGGCGAATAAGACACATTTCTCAATCGTTATCTGTTTGTTTCAGAGCACGTTTATTGCACCGAGACCAGACCATATAATCAAGGCGCACGTTTAACCGCTTATGAATTAGTGCACGACAAGATACCAGCAACTCTAATTTGCGACGACATGGTCGCAGCGCTAATGAAAACGAAACAGATTACCGCTGTTGTCGTAGGCGCAGACAGGATTGCCGAAAATGGCGACACCGCAAATAAAATTGGAACTTATCAGGTAACTTATCAGTCCCGACTATCTTAATTCGAAATATTACAGAATATTACAGATAGAATCAGAAACGATAAAAGATAATAATTGTTCCAAAAATAACTGTGGTTTACCTTCAAAGATATCGGGGCATGTATTATGGAATCATTCCGAATAGATTCCGATTGGAATTCATTCCGAACATTTCCAGACTACGTATCCAATATTTATGTGTACGATACACACTTGCAAATAATTATTTCTATTGATTACAGATTGCAATTCTCGCCAAATATCACGATGTTCCTTTCTATGTAGCTGCATCACTGACGTCTAAGGACTCCAATATGTCCAATGGTGATCAGATAGTCATTGAGGAGCGACCTGAACGAGAGATGACTCACATGAACGACAAGAGAATCGCAGCAGAGGGCATAACATGTTGGAATCCAGCATTCGATGTGACACCGGCGAGTTTAATCACAGGCATAATTACGAATTTCGGTGTTTCTAAGCCATCAGATGGCTCAGATTTTGTCCTCTAACATTCTGCTCTTGTAATACAGTGATGAAATTTAAAACATCTTTTATGAATATGCGTTCGCGACCGTTTATGTGTATATATATCAATTGTAAACATCAAGATGCATGATTAATTTAGTCTCGAGAGAAACAGTGCCATTGAAAATAACTATATAATATAAGAACTTAGGAAAGTCAAGTTTATTGACTGTATAATTTAGTATTAGGTATTTTATTGAATTTTTAAAGATTTAATATGATTGATACTGCCATTCCATATTGCGGCGCGCGTTAAGATACATTTTTATATATTTATTTTCTATCGAAGATAGAAATAAGATTTTGTTACACTTTTGCGGATACGATGTTTGAAGTACATGTGCCTTATAACAATAAGTGTATTATGGATTTAATGTGACATTGAATAGTATCGCGTTGTATATTCAAAATTTAAATATTTAATTTTGTACAAGCTATAAAATAGACAGGCGTGAAAGAGATAAACTCCTCGAATCTCTCTTTTAGTAACTCCATATTTTCGTTATCAAAAGCGATAAAATCCATAGTCCTAAAAAATCCTATCTATCGTCGAGGATGCGGCTCGATGTTTTTTAAAATTCTTTCGATATAAATCTTAGCTATTTGAAATGTCCACAAATGTTGTAATATAGTGCCAATACGACCCGCGCGAGCTGCTGCACGAGTTCCTGCGGGAAACCACAGGATTCTATTTTCGCCGTCGAAAGACGCGCGCGGGATCTCATCCGCCGCGCGGGTTTCCACGGCGCGGTGCTTTAGTACTGCCAGCCTCGCCGTTCCGCGCGGAACTTGGACTCCCGGAATAGTCTCGCGGCGCTGTAAAACTTTATCGCCGAGCGCTAGCCGAAATCGGACCGATCTGGTGGACCGCGCGGTAGGCAGGACAGCTCGTGTTCGTCGCGCTTCTCGTAGCTCCCGTTCGCAGCGAAATCTTCACGAGGCTTTCTTAGATTGATTTGGCTAGAGGTACGTTTCTTGTTCCTCGATGGAAGTGGACACGGAGAACGTCGCGATGGACGAAACGGACGCTCTAATGAGGACCGACAATGGCGGCGGCGTCATCACCAGTAACGTCAACGACGACGATGGGGCGCCCACCGTCGAGGAAACTTATGAGATTACCACCACCAGGCGTAAAACCATCCGCACCAGCTACAAGATCCAGGAGGTAAGTTGTTTGATGATGTGTATACACGACGATTGCCGTAATCATCGAGCTTCCGCCGACGCTGCAACGTGGGCGTCTTGTGTCGGGCGATCGTACACGAGGGATCTCGAGGAACGATGAGCTCAACGCGTTTAGAAATAAAAGTGTTAAACGCAATTAGATAAAATAATTAACAGAAAGTGAAAGAGAATTGACGATTTTCCGCGTAACAATTTGAAACTCTAATTCGATATAATGTGTTATTTTAATCCTGTCAACATATAGGTACCTAATTTCGAATTAATAACAGTACAAATTTTTATATTTGTGCGAATTTCTTCATGACACTTTAAATTCACACTCATCGAACAATGAAGGATAGATTTTATCTAGTTTTCGATTATATATTTTTAGCGAAGATCTTGAAAAATTATGCATCGGCAGAAAAATTAAGACAAATGTTAATCCTCCGCAACATGAATTTTAATACTCTTCCGTCAGTAACAGGAATCTTCAAAAAACAGAGTAAATTTTTTATTATTTTGAACGTACTGGATTATATAAAAATTTGCAAAAATTTTAATACTTGCCAAAGCTTTAATAATTAGTTTTTACACCATAAAATCGAATTGTATTTTACGTATTTTTTTACAGATTTAAATTTATCTACCAAAATTCACACTTGAAATAATCGACGATGCCTTTAATTTAAAGGTCCCAGTTGGCGGCGGAGGATTAAAATCTCAAGAATTGTATTGAAAGATTTTAAACAGCCCCCCTCCAGGGGGTCGATTTTTTTCTCTCTCCATCTTGAAACGAGGTGAAAATCACAAAAGTGAGCAAATTTACTAAGTGTTGACATTGATCAATGAAATTATAAATAGATATACTCTAATAAATTCGCTCACTTTTGTAATTTCCATCTCGATTAAGATACTCAATATTTTAATAAATCAACTCATTTTTTACCTCGATTGAGATGCTCGATATTTTTATACAATTATTTTGCACAATATTGCTGATATCCCCTTTAAACGATTCAAAACAACAATTTAAAGGTCAATATAACTTCTAGACGATCAACTTATGTCAGTTGAATATCTAGACTAGAAAAAGTCTTCTAAATTTTATTCGGTGAACTGAGAAAAATAAATTTTTCTCGGTAGACTTAGTAGATTATTTTATATATAGAACGAAAGAGGAAAAAGATTTTAAATATTTTCTTGCTCTACTACGTCGAGTGTCTCACAATTTATTTTAGCGCGTCGTACACTTTGGATATTATTGGTATCGTCTAGTTACTCCGTACGATGGATTAGTTGTCCTAGAAGTCGCGAGTTAGTAAACTATTCCATCGGTGTTTATTATTTATATATACCTTAGATTCTTAGATAGATATATATATATAT